CAATCTCTCTCTCTCTATCTCTCTCTCTCTGTCTTTCTTTTAGCAGCCTAGCATTAGCTCCTCTCGGGGCCGTGATTCCACTACGAGAATCGTAAATATCCGAAAAACGCGAAGCTTCATTTTACGTGTTATTTTTTTACTGAAATTCAGTGCTCCCTTGCGGACAGAATTTAGCGTACGAAGCACTGAAATCCACAGAGAGTACGCCACTGGAGAAGCTTACATGCCCCGTCCCTTATTGATGGCAGTTTGTCACTGAGTCTCAATTCCTAGATCCGCCATCTTTATCTCTAAGGAAACCTACACCTTTAGGCGAAGACGATAAGCGGAAAGGCGCTATAAGCGGGTAAACAACGAACGAGCGAATTAACCTACATTGTCAACCACCTGTCTTCCGCTGGTGATCAGGTATATAGCGGAAAACGATCGTAACCGCAAGCGTTTATCGTCGAATAGGATGAAGTCGTAGAAGGTAGATTTGCGATGGGCCAATAACCGAATCCCTGCAAAGCCAAATCTCATCATGCGCATAACGTGATTGTCAACGCGCGTGCAGTCAATATGACGCAGTTTTTTCTAGAAAATGCACTATCGTTGTGGATATTTGTGTTAAATATGTAGTGCATGAAATAAGTAGTGTGCGTGCGTGCGTGCGTGCGTGGGTGGGTGCGTGCGTGCGTGCATGTGCGCGTGTGCGTGTGTGAGTGCGCGCGCGTGTGCGTGTGAGTGCGTACGTGTGCGTGTGTGAGTGCGCGCGTGTGCGTGTGCGTGTGTGTGTGAGTGTGCGTGCGTGAGTGCGCGCGTGTGCGTGCGTGATTGCGCGCTTGTGTGTGCGGGTGCGTGTGCGTGTGTGAATGCGCGCGTGTGCGTGTGTGAGTATGTGAATGCGCGTGCGTGTGTATGTTCGTGTGCGCGCGCTTGTGTGTGCGCTTGTGTGTGGGTGCGAGTGCGTGCGTGCATGTGCGTGTCTGCGTATGCGAGTGCGCGCACGCGTGTGCGTGTGTGAGTGCGCGCGCGCGTGTGTGTGTGAGTGCGTACGTGTGCGTGTGTGAATGCGTGCGGGTGCGTGCGTGTATGCGTGTGCGTGCGGGTGCGTGCGTGTATGCGTGTGTGCGTTTTCGTTGCTTCGGCTGTTGCCTAATCAAACAGACTCCGCCGCAACATCCGATCATCAGACACTGCATGCACGTGTACAGATTTCCCTAAAGGGTAGTTGGAGTATTATACAACAGTAACTGCACTCAGCCGTTAAATTGTCTAGGGTCATTCGATTAGATGCTCTTCAGTTGAGCAGATTTTTTTTAGACGATATACGAAACAAAACGGCAAGAAAATAAATAAAAGAAGTTCACTTCCCTGCACAAAAAATAACCGATTCTTTCTAGAATTTCATGGCCAATTTCGCCGAGGCGCTAAAAGCGAGCTGTAATACGAGACACGGCAGCATGGCCACCCGTCGTTGAATAAATAAGAATAATCAATCTAGCAGTAATTATGCTGCACGGAGCAAGCACATGGTGGTAATATTACCAGACGGTGCATATGACAAAAAAATACAGTTACGCACAGCAATCATATAAATACATAACATGAAATAGCAGTTAATCAGTACATTCGTATATTACAGAGGTATATTACCAATAGAACAATGACAACGACACACATACGCGAAATACATACAAGTAATATCGGTAAGAGATACGTACAATCAGGTGTGTCATAATATAGATTGTGTAGGACTGAATCTATATTAGAAGTGAGTCTATGTTATGACAGTCCTCATATATACACTACTGATATAGACACTCTATAATTATCATGACACTCTTGGTACAATCAACACAAACCGTATCAGAGTCCAGCTCAGCACTCCCGATGGTTGCACGGACCGTCCAGCAAAAACAGAACCACATCGAAATAAAGCCAACGTTAAGCTTTCAATCCCAAAAGTATTTAAACTAAGCATGCTTACATACGTTCATGAAGGAAGAAAACTCGTGCAACGACCGGCGTTCGCTGCCCGAAGGGATAATCGATAAATGTCGAACTCGCGTTATACGCGATTTGAGATGTCTGTCAAGATGTTGAAACCCATGTCATGGACACAAAGGTACACATTGCGCGCGTGTGACGAAACCCGTGCTATTCCACGTGATGAGATCAGCAGCAACACCATGTAACACGCGCGTGGGGAAGTCCGGCACACAAGCAGTGGGGAATGATAGAGAACCAGTAACAGAGGAGTAGGAGGAGAGGGTAGGAGTAAGATAAGGAGGAGGAGGACGACGGGGAGAAGAAAAAGAAGCAAGAGGAGGGAAAAGAAGAGGACTAAAAAGAAGAAGCAGCAGCAGGCGATGACAAGGCCACACAATAAGAAGATGATAAAGACTTATAAAGCAAGAAAACAACAATAAGACGCTAACACGATACGACGCGTTCTTCCTTAAACCTTCACCTTAAACATTTACCTTAATCCTTTACATTAAAACCGCCCTTCGCCTTACATTTAATACTTTAACAACCCTAACGCCATCAGCCCTGCCTAACTTCGAACGAGCTATCTTTTTTTGCCCCGAAGCAGTACGCCTCTCGTTTCACTTCCAGTACGTCCTAAGTCAATCACGTCACGAGCAATGCGCCTGTATCGTTGCAGATCTACTGTGGAAGGCGCCAGAGTTGATCTGTGGTAACTGCGAGTATAAGAAGTGCACGCAGAAGGGCGATGTCTACTCGTTCGGCATTATTCTTTACGAAATCATCGCCAGAGATGGACCGTACGGCGACATGAATCTCTCACCTAAAGGTGCCAACAAATTACTCACTATTCACTACTTACGCCTTCATACAACTGATGTTACCGTATTGTACACTATAAGAGATATATATGTTATTATATATATTTATATATATATATATATATATTTTGTTTCTATTCATTTATATAAATTTATTGTTGGATCGATTTTAATAATTCTGCATCTTATTCCACTAGAGATCGTTGGCCGCATACGTGATCCGTCGCTCTGCGCTGGTGGCGCCGCCTACTTCCGGCCAAACATTGCGCGACTCGAGTGCGCGAATTACATCAAGGAATGCATGCGAGACTGCTGGCATCAGAAACCGGAACTGAGGCCGGATTTCCGCCAGATACGAGCGAGGCTGCGGAAGATGAGGGACGGCATGTACGTACGATGTAAAAACATTTTTTTTTTCCCTGTAAAAATTTTGTACCTCTCTCTCGCTGAAATTTCCGACAAACTATTAAAAAAATTAGCGTCGTGAAAAATTTAATGCGATGTTTAAAATGACAACATTTACGTTGCAAAACATTAACCGTGTTTAATTTTGTCTCCCTCTATCTTCCTGAAATGTCCGACGAACGATTACAAAAATTTGGCATTGAATTTAATGCGGCGATGTGTTTATGAATAACGACTAACTAAAGGTAACTAGGACGGTAAAAAGCTAAAAAAAAAGAGAGGCTAAAATGCTTCGCTGTGCATCGTAGCCGGGGTTCGTAGCCGTGTTTATAAGTAAAGACTAACTAAAGGTAACTAGGACGACGCTGTGCGTGACCGCCTGTGTTCGTAGCGAGTACAGGTGAGTACAGGTGAGTACAGGTGAGTACAGGTGAGTACAGATGAGTGCAGGTAAGTACAGGTGAGTACAAGTGAGTACAGGTGAGTACAGGTGAGTGCAGGTGAGTGCAGGTGAGTGCAGGTGAGTGCAGGTGAGTACAGGTGAGTACAGGTGGGTACAGGTGAGTACATGTGAGTACATGTGAGCACAGGTGAGTACAGGAGAGTACAGGTGAGTACAGGTGATTACAGGTGAGTACATGTGAGTACAGGTGATTACAGGTGAGTACATGTGAGTACGGGTGAGTACGGGTTAGTACAGGTAAGAACAGGTGAGTACAGGTGAGTACAGGTGAGTACAGGTGAGTAGCGCGCGGTGCAGGTGGCGAGTATTTGTCGAGTAGGCAATCGACGTGTGTGTGTGAATGCGGCCCGTGCTTGTACATTTCTCTTGATCTGATGAGAGGTGACGGATTCTGGCGAATCGCTGCCTTTATAATTAGCTACGATGCGCGCTCTCTCTCTCTCTTTTTCTCTCTCTATCTATCTATCTATCTATCTATCTATCTATCTATCTATCTATCTCTCTATCTATCTATTTATCTATCTATCTATCTATCTATCTATCTATCTATCTATCTATCTATCTATCTATCTATCTATCTATC